GTTGACCCTCCACATTCGCAGCTTTGACTTTTGTGGATTTGATTAATATGTTCTCCCTAGAAATCTCTAGATCAGTGATTCCCAAACTTTGGTCCTCCAGGTGTTTTGGACTTCAACTCCCAGAAACCAAAGCCACCATGGCCAACCATTAGGAATTCTGGGAGCTGAAGTCAAAAACAACTGGAGGACCAAAGTTTGAGAATCACTGCTCTAGATCCTCCAACACAACTCTGCCAAAAGTTGACCATAGAGTCACATTGGAGAACATAGAGATTCCTAGAGAAGACACTTCTCTAGGCATTTGTAGGTCCTTCAGAGCAATTTGGTGGTCAGCTTCTGCCAGATGTTGGCCATAGAATTGCACTGGAAGACCTAGAGATTCCTAGAGAGGTGTTCTCTCAAGTTAAAAAATAGTGGGCTATTTTATATGCATTTCTCCCACTTTCAGGGGAGCCCTGCATGCCTAACCCCAGCGAATATGGAGGGCCCACTGTAGTTGCTTCCAAGCTGAAGTTTAAATATTACTGAATATACTCATGTATAAGTCTAGACATTTTAGTCAAAAAAAATTGACCCCAGAAACCTAGGTTGACTTAAGGTTTATCCTCGACTCAGAATCATAGAGTTGGAAGAGACCACAAAGGCCATCCAGTCCAACCCCCTGCCATGCAGGAACTCAAAATCAAAGCATCCCCGACAGATGGACTTATCCAAGGGTCATATTGAAATCCATAATTTTGGCCCCAAAACCTGCCCTCGACTTATACATGAGGTCGACTTATAGTCAAGTATGTACAGTACGTTTGTAGATTATAGCCATTGTGAGAACTTATTTTAATCTTTCTCTCTCTATGTCTTCTTTTTTTTGCCCAGTGGTTTTTGGCCAACAGCTGGTAGAAACCATGATCTACGAGCAAAGATTTGGCCAGCACCCCGTCCCCATATTGGTTGAGAAATGTGCAGAGTTCATAAGGATGCATGGCCTTAATGAAGAAGGGATCTTCCGACTCCCCGGCCAAGACAATCTCGTGAAGCAACTGCGGGACGCCTTTGACGCTGGAGAGAGGCCCTCCTTCGACCAGTAGGTGGCATCTTTCTCAAGGTTATGAAAGGAGTCTGGTGCAAGTCCAGCACAGCCCTGCCTAATCCGTTTCTTCCTCCCAGTTTCCAATAATCTAATCAATAATCAGATTTGCCGCAGCCAGATCTCCCAAGACATTTCCAAGTGATCATTCTGGAGATTGACTATAGTTCAAATATCCCCTGCCATGGGCTGAAGGATGTGAAATACAGTGGTCCCTCTACATTTGCTGGCTTTAGGGGTGAAGGACTCCTATAAAAGTGGAAAAAATGCAAATAAAATAACATAGTTCTTTTTATCTGAGAGGACACCTCTCTAGAATCTCCAGGTCCTCTAGTGCAACTCTATGGTCAACATCTGCCAGAGGTTGATC